AGAAGCTAGAAGTTGTAGTTACCTTTTCTTTCATAAATTTCTTGTACACTTCTTCAAGCATCCCTGAAAAGTCACGTTCCTTTTCCATAATATGTTTTTGAACACGCTGATAAGCCCTGTACAGATCTAGTAGAAATTTCTGAGCAGAACTGTGGCTCATGTTGTTGATGTTTTTGACTTGGACTTTCAAGGATTGCATACAAAGGAACAGGGCGTGATCTGCCAATTGAATTCTATCTGTTTCTTTAACGTAAACCCTAGAAATTGGAAGAAAAAAAAAAGATTATTATGTGAAATAATAAAAAAAAAAAAATAAATCACAATACAAAATCTTACTTGTCCTGGTCAGGTATCCTCCTCAACTGTAGACATACATCTAATAGAATTTTGTGATCGTTGGTGTTTCGAAGTACTTGTAAAAGTATTGTTACACATCTCACCATATGAGCTGCTAGGGAACCTGGGCGGTCTATTTCACCTGAAGGAATTCTCCAGACTCCCTTTAATGTTGATTAATGTAATAAAGAAGAAAAGTTTATTACAAAAAAAGACTTACATTAAAAAAGTTGTTCGTTTTCCTATCAGAAAATAATCCCGTTACCAACATATTATTCCGACATCTGTACTGCCCCAGAAGGAGCTGTCTGCACTTTGATAAGTCCTTCCTCGATTTGTAATGGAAGAAAAGGTGGGTTAACCGGTAAAGTGCTTTGTAATTTTGAGGGAGTCTGATAATGTACTGCTCCAAACCTTAAATAAAAGACTGAAGAATTTGTGACGGGTCCCAATAATAAAATAAATACCTTCTACGCACTGATTAATGAGATTATCTATTTCTGAGTTACTTAGAAAGCCTGTGGGAGCATCTGAAGAAGTGGCTGTAGATGTTGTGCTGCTAGAATCGTCACTGTCAGAGTCAGAACTGGAAGAATCACTCGATGAACTGCATGTTGTTGTAGTATCATCAAGAGATTTCTGAAATTAAAAAAAAATTATTAGAATTCATTAAATATGTATAGTATTAAATATATGTACCCGAATGCCCTTTTCTTCGTCTTCTTTCTTCGTTTTAATTTCAATTACTTTTTTATCTTCTACATATTTTGCTGTCTCGTTCTTTTCGATGGTTTCTTGTTCCTCTTTTATACATTTGCTTATTTCCGTTTGCAATTTTTCTTTTGTGCTTTCGAAGAATTTATTGAATTCTGCTTCGGCATTGGCTGGGTCAGAATCGATATCTTCGATTGCTTCTTCTTCCTTCATAGTTTTCAGCATCACTTCGTCCATCAATTCTTGTACGTTTTTAATTCTTAATTGTTGAGGAGGAGATAATAATATTTCGTCTTCGCTATTATTTTGCTCTATAAATAATTAATTACACCTCTTGCTTTAAAAGCGATTTTGTGGCACTTACTGGTTTTTATTGATCCTCTTTCATCATCAGAATCAGATATCATGATAACATCTTTGGCATCGTTATCTAAAGTGACTGGTTCTTTCCCTGGCAATTCTTTGACTTGATTCAAGGTTTTCTTAATATCGACTTCTTTTTCGTCCTGTTTTAGCTGAGTTACTTCAGGCACAGTTTCAGTTGTAATTTCTTTTTCAGTTATCTCGCTTTCTACTGCTGCCGTTTTTTCTTGAGGGGGCTCTTTGTTATCTATTTGTTGAACTGCAGTATAATTTCCTTCGGGAAATGCGCATCTGTCCAGACATTTCTTAAACATTTTTCCAATTGCTATTGGTATATTTTTGCCCTCGTGCAACTCTAAATATTTTAATACGGACGCATGGACCCTGTAGTGTATTTCCAACACTTCGACTGCCAAATGTTGAGGGCTGTTGTAGTTTATTTTCTCGGGATAAGCAGCTTTGTTTTCCTGGAGGAGTTCTAAAGCCTTAAACGAGAATATTAAATAAAGTGCGTACATTAATTAAGATGGAAGGAGTTGTAAATACCGTTAAGTAGTGTTGTAAATATTCTGCAGGTTCCATTCTTCGTTTTTCCGCAACTTTGCCCATCATGTAATGGTGTAACCAACGTTCATCTTGCTCGACTTCTTCTTGCTGATGTAGGTCTAATGCCTTTTTGAAACTTTTGCCTGAACTATCCAAATATTGTTCCTTTTGGTTTTCTAATTTTTCGAACCTTTTAATAAAAAATTAGATATTAAAATGTACATTTGCAAAATAAAATGAAATGAAGACAGCTGACTTACTTTTCCATGCTTATGGTGTCTGATTCGTACTTTAATATTCTGGAATAATAAGAATGAACTGCGTATTCAAAAGATCCAAATTCGATCCATAAAGTAATGTGATTATCGGCAAGTTTGAGAGCTTGTTTGAAACAGGCCTGCGCACTTTTGGCTTCATCGTTAAACTCTTGTTCATTCTTGAAGCTTTCGCAAAGGTTCAGCTTGTTTTCTAATCTATTCGCAAGCCCTAACGCCATGTTTGCCCATGAATCTAGTCGTAATGGATTACAAGAAAGATCCAATAAGAAATATTTCAAACTTTTTCCTACTTCGCTTTGTTTGAAATAGTAGTCGCCTAATAAGTAATAAATGGCTCGTGCTTTAATCGGAAAATCTATCGGTTCTGGTAAATTTTCTGCATTTCCTTTGATATAGTCTCTGATTTTTGGTATTAGCGGATTTGGATCATATTGACTTGGAACTAAGGCCGTAATTCTTTGCAAAAGTTGCTCCAAATCTGGAGAGATTGATATAGACTTGAACGATTCGAATTCTGGCAAAGCTTCAGGGCAAAAGAATTCGTAAAGCTGTTGTGCCCGTTCCCAAGATAATTTTATGGGATTTACGTTGTGATCTGCCAAGTGCCGTGAAACCTATTCGAAAATTTTTGAATTTACCAGGTAGTATGCATACCACTGTAATTTTTACCTTATTCTTTTTACTTGGATGTTGGTAAAGACAGAAAAATGCCTGTTCTAAGTGTATATCGATTTTGTCACGTAACGGTTCGAAAATTGGGGTGTCTAATCGATCTAGAATTTTATCGATAAGGAAGTGAAGCAGTTCCCCTTCGTTTGTTAAACACCAGCTTTTGTTGCCTAAACGAAACATGTAATTAATTTAATTAATCTCCATGCATATGTTTAGTAAATGTTTTACCTAAAAATTCATGTGCTGAAAATAGGACTGCTATAGAAGGGGGTACTTCTTCATTAATTGGTTCCGAAGCTGACTTACTGCCACTCAGTCTTTTATCTTTCTTAACATGCTTTGTTATTCTTTTAGCTTGCTGTCGGTGTTCTTCCCTAAGTAATTTGTAATTAATTTTGGGTCAATTAAGATTTATTTGGGTACTACCTTAATAAAATATAATGTAAAACAAGCCAGGGTGTTACGGTTCCCAGAGGGATGGTAGATCTTCCTTCACTATTTAATTGTTTGGTGACTATTCTACATAAATTTTCTATCAATCTAATTCGATTTTCTTGGGAAAGATTATCGACTAAAAAATTAAAAGCTTTGGTAATAAATCAGTTTTTTATAATCCTAATTTAGTGGAAAAATTGAAAATAATTTGGCTGCAATAACATAAAAAAAATCGTTTGGCTCTTAGATTTTTCTTACCAACTGTTACTGTTTCTTCTTTGATTATTTCATGAAGAATGCTAATACACTTGCATAGTAGCATGTCCCATTTATCGTCATCCACTGTGGGACTTATGAAGTGTTCAGTTGCTTCAGACAAACATTTTTCAGTCCAAATGAAACATTCTATTCGATCGACGAACCAATAGGAATGTAGCAGGAAGCCTAACTGTGCAGGTCTGCCCATTTTACCCCACGTGGGAGCATTTGAACCACAATTAAAAGTTTGTTTTAGAATGTCGATGACTTCATGATATAATTGCTTTTCGTAAAGGGCTTGTACGTGACTCAATGATTCGATTCTAACAAGAGGAGTTAATATCAGCAATTAATATGTTTTTATTTTGTAATTGGTATTAAGTAAAAGAGTAAATAGTCTTAAAACGTGGTAGATATACTAAGTTTAAATAGATAAAATCGGTTAAATATTTATCCACGTTTACTTATTTATGTACATAATAAATGGGTAAAAAATCTTTTAATAATGCATTTTAATGAAAATAGTAAGATTATTAATCTTAAATCAATTTTTAAACAAAAATAAATATACAAAACATTTTGTATTAATTCATACATTTGTGGACAATGGAAAAACATTACTTACATTTCTAAATGGTGCAGTAGTTTTTGTGTGATTTCCTTTGTTATCATATTATAATTAGTACAGTTTGGTAATACTAACATAAACTGGGAATCAGTCTTATTACTCTCTTCCTCATTTATAACTTCTTCTATCTGAAAATATAAGGTTTAATGTATTTTTTGTACGTTTAATATATATACATAAACCCAACTAAAGTAAACTTAAAATTAAATTACCAGTTGATATGCACAAATTGCAAGAGTATGATTAGAAAGTCCTTTAAGGACGTAAGCTCTTAGCCAGTGTATTCTTACAAACATTATAAAATAATCTTCCTGCCACTGTTCTTTCCAAGTACTTAACAACTGTAATTGAATCAAAGAAGTTGGATGCACCTTTCGTTTGTCTTTGTCTTCTCTAGAACACGAAAAATTATTTTGAAAGTCATATTTGCTTGAAATTGTCCTACTTACGTTTTTAAATAAAAATATACAATTTCTCCATACATCAAAGTCACTAAAGCGTCATTTTTTATCTCTTCAAATGAAGACAAACCATTAAACAGCTCAGGGTGTTCAAAATGTTCCCTGAGAGAAAAAAACTTTAGATGCATAAAAAACGTTTTAAATAGGTTTCAGTTCAAAATAAACCAGGTGTATGTAACTAAACACCTTACGTTTCACATAATGTTTACCTGTATTTATCATAGGCTTTTAAATACAACGAAATTAATTCTTTTGGCCATTTTTTGTTCCACATTTTGGCTAAAGATACAGTATACTCTTCAATTAAATCAACAACATCCAAATGTTCGCGCTCTTTAGTCCAAAAGTTAGTAACGTCGTTTTTTTCATTTTCAGTTCCAAAGTATTTTTCACTTAAAACAAACATTTTACAGTGTTTTGAGGTAATTACAAATCATTGAATGTGCACTTACAAGTTTACAGAAGTCGAAGATAATTGGCTTTTGAAATTAGTGAATATATTATCAATGCCTTTGTTTTTATCAAAATTTTTATTTCTTTCTATGTTTATACCATTTGGACTAGAAAAACAAATAGATTCTTTTGAGGATGTATTTATAGAATTGTAAAATTATTTTCTGTTTAAATCAATTATAAAAATCTTACAGCAAATACGACGGTATTATCCTTGTGAGGGCACCTTGAATGGTAAAATCCTTTTCACTTTTTCCTTTCTTTGCTGATTTCCTTTTGCTATGCCACCCCCAGATCTGCAGATCTGAAAGTAAGTCACGTTTGCGTTTTGCAGTTCGTTTTTTCTCCTCTTTCTGTTCGGAATTATCCTCTTGGTCTTCAGTATCCTGATCCATCTAAAATAAATAAAATGTTAAAAAAATAGTGCAAAACAGATAATAATGAATTCACTTCATCGTTATCTTCTCCTTGACTGCAATTAGGTTCACTTAAATTATTATTTTCACTACTTAAAGAGGGACGACGTTGTTCAAAATTGTCTTCAGGTTTTACTTCATTTTCTACTTCCATAGTTTGTGGTTCAGTGCTTGGTAAAACAATGGGTTTTGCATCTATTACATTTTCGTTGGAGTTTTCCGCCGTGTTTTCAATGGGAACTGCTTCAACATCAGTGTATTCCCTGCTCATACATTTTGTTATGTCCACTTTTGAAAAGTAACTCTAACAAAATAAAGAAAGTCTCAAAAAAATCATTTGCATACTTATGTACATGTCTTAGAAGTTCTATTCACATATTTATTTAAACAATGTTTTTGATCAAAATAATAAATCCTTTCTCTCAATTTACCAGCTTATTTTCAGTTATATAATTGTGGAGATTTAATATGGTTTTTCCTAGTGAAACCCAAGTAAAATCTTGCAAAGCAGTTGGCAGTGCTATACATGGGAGTGGTTTGGGGCCAAAACTTTTTTCCACTTCGTTTAATCTTTTACATAAAGGCTCCAAATTTTTTATTATCATTTTTTCATCTTCTTCTGTAACCACACCATCAAAATCAGGCTCTAAAATACTATAAATAATTTTATTTATACAGTACGATTGAAATAACATTCTGCTGTGCTTACTAATCCGGATTGTATGCTTGATAGTATTCTTTAGCAGCTGGGTTAGATTCAAAAATGAGTTTTCTAACCACATGACCTTTAATGTAATCTTTATCTAAAACGAGTGCTTTTCCTATATATAAGAGGCATGTCACTGTATCTTGAATAGCATATAAAACTGAAATTAGTTTATCCAAACAAGGCCAGTGAGACTCATTGCATTCCAGGCCCTATTAGATGCAAAAACAAGAACAATTTTACTTGTTATTATCATAACATAAAACAGACCTTTAGGAAAGCATAAGCAGCTTGGCGAAACCTGTCTAATTTTAAAGCTATTGTGCCTATTTTATGCCACAATGTAACATCAGAAGAGTCCAAATCTGCAGCCTAAAATATAGTTATCAATTAAACTATTTCAAAAATATTTGTTAAGGCAAACCTTTAGAAAATTATCTAAGGCATCAGAATCATTCTTTTTCTGGACATAAATATTCCCTACATTGAAATAACATGAATATTTAAGGGTTGACATAGTCTTGGGGAGTCCGCCTTGTGATTCTAGCTGGGGAATATTCTCTGTTAAGAGTTTTTCAAGAATTGAAACAGCCTCTTCATAATTCCCATTGCATTGATGTCGTAAAGCTTTATTGTACATGTCGAGGGCAATTTCCTCCTAAATCATGCAATAAAATGTAAACACCTTTATATATTTGTTAAAAATAAAATATTACTTGGGCTTCTCTGCGTATGGTTGGGGCATCTTCGTCGGATAATGAGTCACGATTTAAAGCCCTAATCTTAATCATTTTTAAATTGCTACGTATGACTAAAATGTGAAAGCGGCCTTTTTCATATACCTTTTTTGAAATTTTGTGAAGTTTTCAAGTTCATTTCTCTGTATTTATAAATAAATACATTTAATAAACTTAACCTCACTAACTATATTGTACAAATTTTCTATTGGCATGTTAGTAATTCGTTCGCTGTAGGAAATTATATTAAGTAGTTGGCTGCAGTTGTTGTCAAATGCTATAGTTTGGTGTTGTCTATGGTTTGCTGTTGCTGTTTACAGATAAAATAGCATGTAATTATCCTGAATTAAATTGCAATAAAGTTTTTTAAACAGCAAGTAAATAAGTGAAAGAGACTTGTTTGATGTGTTACTCTCGAAGAGGGGGTTAATTTCTTAGCTGAGTCTCATTCTTTAGTGATAAACGGAGCACTTTATTTTTGGGACAAACGAAAACTTAACCAAACAAACCATGGATGTTGATAAAGGTAAAGTATTTGTGAAACAATTAGCTATATTTATAGATTTAATCCATGTTGATAAGTTATTATTCCTCTAGAAGATCCCCATATTACTGTGAATACTAAGGAAACTTTGACAAAATCACGATCTTGTTCTCCTGAAGTTAATGGACATGCATATGGTAAACGAAAATCTCGATCTCGTTCTAAGTCGGTAGCCTCTGATTCTGGCTCTATGACTATCGATGTCTCACCAGTAAAGAGTAGAGAACAATCTAGATCAAGATCAAGTTCATATGAACCTGTAAAAAGTCCTCATAAAGAAGCATCTCCCAGATCTCCGACTGGGTCAGCTGCTTCAAATAAATCTAACAGAAGTGCAAAGTCAAAATCACGTTCACGGTCAAGGTAAATTACTTTCTTTAGCTGCTCTTTAATATATGAAGTACTGATGTCCTTTTTAGAAGCAAGAGTGCTGGTAGTGCAAGATCACATTCAGGTTCACAATCAGGATCACACAGATCTAATTCTAAATCAAAATCTCGTTCAAGATCGCGCTCCAAATCACCGTCAGTATACTCACGAACATACCATTCACCATCAAGATCTAGATCCGGCTCTAGAGCTTCTAAAAGATCTAGGTCTGGCTCCAGAGCTTCTAAAAGATCTAGGTCTGGCTCCAGAGCTTCTAAAAGATCTAGATCAGGCTCTGATGTTTCCAGAAGGTCAAGATCAGTTTCTAAAGCATCTGCACGGTCTAGATCAGGATCTGCAGCTTCAGTACGATCGCGATCTAGTTCACGATCGAAATCGAACGACTCTAAAAGATCTGCTTCTGTACATAGCAATGCCTCTAGGAAATCTCGTTCTCGATCGAAATTGAAGTCTCGTTCCAGGTCAAAATCGAAGTCTCGTTCTAGATCAAAATCAGCATCTTCAGCAAGGGCTAAGTCAAAGTCACGTTCACGATCAAAATCTAAGTCAAAGTCTAAATCAAGGTCTAGATCAGTATCGGTACAGTCCCATGCATCAGCCAAGTCAGGAGGATCTAGGAGATCAAGATCGGGTTCTCGTAGATCCCGATCCGGCTCTAATAAGTCGTGGTCAGTTTCAGTACATTCCAGATCAGCTTCTCCAAGATCAAGATCAGGTTCAGCCCGTTCTAGATCTGGGTCAAGGCGCTCAAGGTCTGGATCAGCAAGGTCAAGATCGGGATCTAGGAGGTCAAGATCTGGGTCTAAGAGGTCAAGATCTGGTTCTAGAAGGTCTCGATCTGGGTCTAGGAGGTCAAGGTCTGGGTCTAGAAGGTCCAGATCAGGTTCCAGAAAATCTAGATCGGTCTCTGGGAGATCGAGATCTGGTTCTAGGAGGTCCAGGTCGGGATCAGTGAGGTCTGGGTCAGGTTCAAGGAAATCTAGATCGAGGTCTAGATCTTCATCAGGATCTAGAAAATCTAGATCAGGCTCAGCAAGGTCTAGATCTGGCTCGAGAAGGTCCAGGTCGGGATCAAGGTCTAGATCCAGATCACTATCAAGAAAGTCGAGGTCTAGGTCACGTTCGGGATCAGTGAGATCCGGATCAAGATCGGTTTCTAGGTCTAAATCTCGTTCAAGGTCCCGTTCAAGGTCTGGTTCCCGCTCAGGATCTGAGGGTAATTAAAAATAGCTATCAGGTAAAAACACGTCTACTGCTTATAATTAAATAGTTGGAGTAAGGAAGAAACGTAAACACCTATCAGATTCTGAGGACGAAGAAGGATCTAAAAAGAAATCAAGTGAGGCCGAAGGTGAACAAGAAGCGGGTCATTTAGACGTTCAAGCTGTACCCGGAGAAGCCGAGGAACATCATCCTTCTGAAGTGCTTCCTGATGTTTCTGACGATTCAGATGATGAAGTCGGCCCACGTGGCGATAGGGGGTAAAAGAAATTATTTGTGTATATTAAATCTATTTTAATTCTAATTTTCTTTTTTAGGGGCGAGCATGTATCAGACTTTGAGACAATGATGCAGAGAAAGAGGGAGGAGCAATCGAAACGTCGTAAAAGAAAAGACATCGATATTATTAACGATAACGACGACATTATCGCTCAACTTTTAGCAGACATGCGAATTGCAGCTGAGGTTTGTGAGATTACTTATAAAAGGAAAAGGGGTAATAAATGGTATTTTGTTTTATTACTATTTTTAGGAAGATCGAAAAGCTAATCAAAATCGTCAACCAGCCACAAGAAAAATTGGCATGCTTCCAAAGGTAATGTCACAGCTTAAAAAGCACGATTTACAGTTGGCCTTTATAGAACACAATGTGCTCACTGTCCTAACTGATTGGTTAGCTCCCATGCCTGACAGGTCTATGCCATCTTTACAAGTTCGTGACTCGATCATTAGACTACTGGCTGAAGTAAGATAAAGTTTTGATTCCTTTTTTTCTGAACTTTTCAGTTAAATATTTTTTTTGTTTAGTTTCCCCCAATAGATCAACAAACTTTAAAGCACTCTGGCATAGGAAAGGCTGTTATGTATTTGTACAAGCACCCAAAGGAGACCAAGGATAACAGGGAAAGAGCTGGGAAATTAATAAGCGAATGGGCAAGACCCATTTTCAATTTATCGGCAGATTTCAAAGGTATTAATGTATTTCTTTTGTGTAGCCTTAATTGATGGTTAATTTGAACTTTTGTAGCTATGACTCGTGAGGAAAGACTGCAAAGGGACATGGAGCAGTTACCTAAAAGAAGAAGGTTGGAAGAACAGTCTTCTTCTGGTAAAAAGGACATATCAAGAGCACTCACTTCTTCTACAGATCAAAAGTAATAAGAATATTGTGATATTTATGATTTCTTTTTTAAATATTTTCTTCCTTGCAGGGCTTTAAGACCAGGTGATAAGGGTTGGATAGGGAGAGCCAGGGTTCCTGTACCTTCAAGTAAAGACTATGTTGTAAGGCCCAAATGGCAGTCTGAAGTAGATATTAGCAGGGTAAGTGCTTTCTTATTCATATAAAATAATTTCTTTTTGCTCTGCGGTTTTCAAAAGTAAAATTCGGATTTCGTAATGTTTGGAAACGGTTTTTAGACAACTAAGAAGCAAATGAATCGTTTCGAAAAGCACTACAAAAATTTTGTAGAAGGTAAAAGACAGAAAAAGATGAGAGCTGTTGAAATTTCGATAGAAGGTAGAAAAATGGCCCTATAAGTTTAATAATGAGATAATTCTGTGAGCGGTTTGACTCTTGTTTTCAAAAGTAAAATTCGGATTTCGTAATGTTTGGAAACGGTTTTTAGACAACTAAGAAGCAAATGAATCGTTTCGAAAAGCACTACAAAAATTTTGNCTGGATAAAATTTGCCACTACCTGTCACTTTGTTGAACAGCTGTTTTTGACAACGAGATTTGAGGTTAAACGTTTGATTTTTGTTGGGAATCAAACAAAAAATAAATAATTAACAGTAATTATGTATGTATATATTTTGTAACTAGTTTGTGCAGTTATGAGCTATTGTAAAATATTAAGATCTAATCTTAACTTTCAAAAAGCACACTTAAGTTCGTGTCAAGTGCAGTTTCGACATTGTTTAAAGCCGGCATTGGGAAGACAAATATTATATTCTCCCTGTGGTCCCCTTTTAATTTACTTAAATAATAGACAGTTCACGTTTAAAAGTACCGTAGAAGATTTGGCTAAAACTCAGGCTGGTATCTTTAAGTCAATTTCTGAAAGTACTCCAGTGGGGTACATTCAACAGTTTCTAGTAGATGTTCATGACAAAACTGGCCTTCCTTGGTGGGCTTCAATTGTACTTACGACAATTATATTTAGAACATGCATTACTGTGCCATTAGCTGTATATCAACAGTACATCCTTGCAAAAATCGAGAATATAAACCTAGAAATGAAAGGATTAGCTGAGGAGCTCAAAAAGGAATTAGCAGTTGCAATAAAATTGTATAATTGGGACGAAAGACAAGCAAAATTTCATTTTAGAAAATCAGTAAGATCGTTTGTTCATTTTTCTAAACCATACAGGAGGAATTATCGATTTTTTTTAGATAAAGAAGCAGTGGAATAATTTAATAGTCAGAGAAAATTGCCATCCATTTAAGGCAGGACTTCTAATGATATTTCAAATACCTTTATGGATTTGCCTTTCAGTGTCTCTCAGAAATCTTGTATATATGTTACCAAATAGAGATTTGGGTGCTGAATTAAATTTTATTGGTCTTACTGTTGGTGGATTTGGCTGGATTCCTAATCTTACTGTATCTGATTCAACCTTTATTTTTCCTGTTACATTAGGATTACTGAATTTAGCCATAGTAGAAGTAAGTTTTAATTTTTTCATTTATTTGTTTAGCCATTTTCATTACATAGAATAAAAATGCTTATTTTCCATTTTTGAAAAGGATATTTGACTATTTTTATGTATCATTTCGTTAGGTTCAGATGTTATCAAGAAGAAATGTACCTTCAAAGTTTCAAAAAGGAATAACAAATTTATTTAGAGGTTTAAGTGTGCTAATTATTCCTGTGTCTGCTTGTGTCCCTTCGGTAATCAGTAAAATAAAATGGAGATACATATGTATTTTTAATGAATTCTTCTTTTTTTTAGTGTCTTATTTTGTACTGGACAACATCTACTGCTTTTGGATTGATTCAAAATTTAACTTTATTGTCTCCTACAGTTAGGAGGTTCTGTGGGATTCCACAGGCACCTAGCGAGCTAGCAAAGCCTTACAGTCACATCACACTGGGCTTAAAAAGTCGATTTAATGTTCTGAAAGAATTTTCAGTATTAAATACTTTTAAAAATAATAAAATAAAATAGCTTTTATTTATATGCATACTTCATTCTTTTTTGTTTATTTTGTTTTCATTTAATATAAATTTTTGTTANTTTTTCTTCGGTTAAAATAATAATTTAACGTAATTAATAATAAACCATTAATTATTATACAATTAGGAAATAGCTTAATAATGTGATGTACCTATATTTTTGTTTTATTTAAATAAATCTATTGCGAGTATTTATTTGTTTATTCGATATTTACAAGAAATTTAGTTTTGAAGTCCAAATTAATTAATCATTGTGCTATTTATTTGTTTTAAAAACGACATTGCTGTTAGTTTGTCTTAAAACAAGAAAATTAATTGCACTCCAACTGATTTGTTTTTTGATAATTAATTAGAGCTGCAGTAAGTGAGTGTTATATAAACATTATAAGGGCTGCTTTTATAAATATGAGTGATTGATAGAATATATTTGCCAATTGTTCTTGTATTATTCACAAATCGAATGATTTACAGCCGAAAAGTGTAATACTCCACAAGTATTACATTTTGAATATAACGTACTGTGTGTTGCCTATATTGACTATTAAATTTCGTAAAAATAAATTTTAATAGCAGCAAGGTCACACTAGATGGCGATACAGTGCCTATAATTCAAATTTTTGCGCACTATAAGTTTACATTAAGTAGGAAAATTAGAAAATCCAAATTCAAGCTATAAATGAATAAAAAGTAAACAAGCTTTTACCTGTAATTAATTATTTGTTATATTTGTTATTCGTAAAGCTAGTAAAGAAAAATAAATAAAATTTTTTAATTGGCTGTTCTGTTCTTTAATTTTAGTGCATTCAATTGCAAAAAAGTAAAAGTTTGAGACAATAAATAAAACGTATTTTTACTTTCTGTTTTGTTAGTTACAAATGGAGTTTGTAACTACCAGGATTTATTGTATTTTCACTTTCAAATTCTCCAATAAGCGATTAATTAACGTAAAAATACAGTTTTAAGATACAAAATTAAATGGGATGGTCATTTTATTATGTATCTACATGTATTAGCCAATATCTTTTAAAGACCGCACCTTGCAAAATGATGCACCTTTCTGCCACGATAACAATCCATTTATCAATATTAAATGCTGCATTAACGAGATTAATGCAATCAGCTATTACATACGTACATATCTCAATATTATTAGAATATTTACGGAAATTTTTATTTAGAACTCCTGTCCTACAATTCGCTTTAAAGCTTTTGATGTCAACATTTACTTATTAGTTAAAAATAAAATTGAAGAAAGTACCTTACATTTTATTTTGAAATTATAATTACAGTTATTAGTATGGGTCAAGAATTTTGACACTTATTAAAATAAAAGCATTCCTTGTTCCACATTTTAATTTATTACGAGAAAACGAATAATGTTGTGTATTTACGTAATGCAAAAGATAATTTGTTTGTGGCAAATTACTTCATTTGGTTTATTATGTATCAGTTACGTATATTGGGTTGCCTATGGTTGTATCAGATTGAAATAATTGTTTATTATAAATAATTTATTTTAACATACTTTTCTTGCCAAAGTAAATTTATGCATATTATACGCTAAAGAATTACATTTGTTTTAGATACTTTAAGTCACCAAGTTTTAATAAAATAAATATTTCCATTTCTGTTTTCATTTATTAAAATTTTGATGCAATTTTCACTTAAATCGGACCTTACAAAGTCAGAGATGAAACATTAGTTAAGGTAATTTAATAATAGTTGCAAAAAGCGATATTCTTCCATTTTAAGTAATTACCAATTAATATAATCTGCGACTTTGCTATTGTACAGGTGCAATTTTGTGTGGTTTCAGCTGTATATAAATAATAAAATATAAAGCTTAATTATTTGGATGAAGCAACTTAATTACGTGATGAAGTATCGTTTTGTCAATTTACTTACAAAACGATAAAATATTTTTAGAACTTATCTTAAAACTTTAAATATTTTGTATGACATTCATTTAATTAGTAAAAAGAGGTCTGTTTAATTTATGCAGAGCAACTTTTTGCGGTAGGTACTGTATATAAATATATTAGTTTTAAAGTTTTATCCTTTGACCATGTAGTGAAGAGAGGTCATAGGAAAGTCACCAGTTTTTTTTGCACATTCTAATATTTATCTAGTAATATTTAAAAATACACTGTCTGTTTACTAAAGAGTTGCACAATAGCATTAGATTTGTTTTATTCTGAATTCGGTGTTTTCCACCAATTCTACATTACGAGTTTTTGAGTGATAAGCTCGCGATAATTAAAAATGAAATTAATTAAAATGAACTTTGAATGGTTAAAGCTTTTGCGGGTATTGGAGTTGATTAAATTGATGTTTAGACTTTTTGTGGAAGGTGAAATCGAAAACAGCAAAGGTAAGTTTACAATTTTACGATTATTTGGTAAATGGATTTTCTGAACTCTGATTAAGTCTTGGTGAACTGTGTACCCTTCGTTAATTTTCAACTTGAAAAGATAACTAAGAGCCAAATTTTGACAATTGTAGATCAGTGTAGTTTATGTAAAAGGAATATAGATTTATAAATGGATACTAAAAGTGTACTAAGAGGGCTTAAAATCTAGGGTGAAATAACTGTTAAGTAATTTAAAAAGTAAATAATGAAAATTGTACTTCCCATTTCTTATTTCTGAAATTTCAATGTAAAATAATTTCGTCAAGCTTCTGATATACGAATGTATATATTTGTTGCACCTTTATTGGTCTATATTCCATTAATTTTTTTGGTCTATTGTGCTGAAATAGCCTGTCGGCTTCGTATTGTTACTATAACAAGTTTACTAACTCAATTTATCGAAATTGGTATCAGTTTTTGGCATTAAAATTGTACAAAATGCTTTAAGTGATTCAATTAGAAAATTGGAATTAGTTCGATTTTGCACTTGAGGGTAGCAATCAAATGTATGTTAAGTAAAAACACTCAAGGTGCGTGTAGATTATTATATAAATTGCATCAAATAACAAATGAAGTATGCATTTTGGAGATCAGTATGGAACTTTTGGGTCACCTGATTGCGGAATTGCCTGTACGAGATTTTGCGTTATCAATTGCTGTGTTATCAGTGAATTGATCTTTTCGTCCGACGATGAGTAAGTAGAAGCAGTTAGAGATGTTTTGATATGCATGAGGATTAGTGTTGACTACAAAAAGTTCTTTAATTAATTGAATTGACGTTAAAAATAAAGTAATCCAAAACAAAAAAAAAAAATTCGATGCTTGAAAACTCAGCAAGGTAAAATTTTCAAATTAAAGTCCAATTTGTTTCAACACATACGTATAAGTATGGAAAATTATTATCTATCTATCTATTGGGAGTCTGAAAGAATTTTGTTGATAGATTTTAAA